AAGTCTCTGCTTCTCGTATGAACACAGCTATGTTTTGTGTTCGCAGAGAGCGCAGAAATCAGAATACTGCAATGAGATCTTACTTTGAGGAAATACCTAATTGTCCACGGTCTAGTTATTAGTCAGTTTAAGCCTTTTTAATTAAAAGAGCATGCTTGCAGACTGAGCCAAGCCAGGGCACAGCCAGTCTGTGAACTTTCCAGTCTGTGCACAGTGCTGAGATTTAGTCTCAGACAACCAGCAGATGGATCTTTTTTTTGAAAGAGGTAGCTTTGTGTTCTGCTATGCAGGCCAATTTACAAAATGTTGCTGAGGTTATTCAGTCATTCAGTCTTTCTGCCCAGTTCTGCAAAGCCAGCTGAAGACACTTCACTGAGGATGTCTCACTGAGGTTCTGGTTATAATGGCCCTTTACTTTGTCTTCCTGGCCAGGGATTGGAGGTTAAAGGCTGATTTGCATTTCCAATTGCTTTGTTTTCCACAATTACAGCATTATATCCTAATTACGGCTTCCTAAATGTAGAATGGTGCTTGATGTGACAATGTGTTTACAGTACGGAAACAGACCATTCAGCCCAACACCTTAATGCTGGAGTGAATTAATTTCATTTGGCAATGGTTCCATCTATTTACCAATAGCGCTTCATGTAAGAACGTAAGAAATATTCAGCCCCTGAAGCTTGCATCCTGAACTGATCTGGTATCTCAGCTACACCTTCCTGCAATAACTCCAAATCTCTTAATTCTCTCAGAATCTGCTGAGCTCTGACTTGACTGTGCTCAATGACTGAGTGTCTAAAACTATCTTAGTGGAGAATTAATAAGATTCTAAGTCATCTGAGTGAAGGAGTTTCTCTTCATCTCAACTCGAAATGGCTGACAACTTATTCTAACACTAAAACCCTCTGTTCCAGACTCTCTGGTCAGGGAAATATCCTCCCAGCACAGATCTTGCCCAGCGCTAAGAATTTTAATTGTACCACTGAGGTTACAGTCTCTTCATTCGAAACCACAGGGAATTTGGCCCAATCTACTAAATGTCTCGTCTTGGGACAATCCTCTTACCCCAGCAGTCAATTTAATGAACCTTTGTTGCACTCCTTTTCAGTTAAGTATATTATTTCTCAGGTAAGGTGACCAAACATTGTACTGTATTCCAGGGGTAGTCTCAACTGAGGCCCCATCCAACTGCAACAAGACTTATGTATTCTTATACTCCAGTTCCCCTGTAATAAAAGCTAACAGAACATTTTCTTTTCAAATTGTTTGCTGAAATTGCAAGCTACTCTGTTCTCACCACTTGATCTTATCAATCAATGAATCTATTCATTATCAATCATTATTGGCAGTACGGTGGCCCAATCTTTGGAGAGTTGGTGCAGACTTGATGGGTCGAATGGTCTCTTCCTGCATTCTAGAGGTTCTATGATTCTAATCAACTCAACTATGTGCTCCTGAACTATTTACATTCTCTTCAGTTCCATTTGAGTTTTAACAATCAGTGAGTTGATACAAATACCTGACCTTTGTTTAAACATTAGAATTTCCCTTTCCCTTTTTGTACTGCCATTGTCTCTTTTTAAGTGCCAGCATTTGTTTTATTTTTTGTTTTCTTTCAGAAAAATGAATACAGATGTATAGCCTTTGAAGTGACTCAATGGTTTTTGATGCAGTAAGAACAAGAAAGGGCATGGCCACTTTTCTAGCTCTGTGTCTAACCCAGACTGTACGTGCCGCTGGATTATTTGCTGGTATAATGTAAAGGGATCTTTAGTCAGTATTTAACTTATGCTGCGCTTGCCTGGGAGCCTTTAATATTGACAGTGTAAAGGAAGCTTTACTCTGTATGCAAGGCATTCATTGTCAGAGCTTTGTTTCAATAGTACATTTTCTTTCATAGTATCATAGAGTTATACAGCACTGAAACTGACCCTTCAGTCCAAACAGTCCATGCCAAACATAATCCCAAACTAAACTACTCCCACCTGCTTCCTCCTGGCCCATATCCTTCCAAACCTTTCCTATTCATATATCCATCCAAATGTCTTTTAAATGTTGTAATTGTACCTCCATCCACCAGTTCTTCTGGGAGTTCATTCTACACACGAACCACACACCGTGTAAAAATCATTTTTAAATCTCCCTCCTCTCACCTTAAAAATGTTCACCCTTAGTCTTTAAATCCCCCATCTTAGGGAAAAAAACAACTACCATTAACCCTATCTATACCCACATGATTTTATAAACTTCGATAAGGTCGCCTATTAACCTCCAATGCTCCAGTGGAAAAAGTCACAGCCCATTCAACCTTTCTTTATAACTGAAACCTTCCACACCCGGCACATCCTGGTAAATCTCTTCTAAACCCTCTCCAACTTAATATCCTTCCTATAACTGGGCGACCAGGACTGGACAAGGTACTCACCAATATCCTCCTCTTCCCTCTTCCAGTGTTAACTTAATGCAAGTATTTACTTTTTTTTAAAATTTTATGTTATCATTAAGAAAAACAAATACGGTTGTATATCTTGTGAATAAACTTGCCAGTTTTTACCAGCAGCAACAGGAATGTACTCAGTCATTATTGACAGATCTTATTACGATGGTGCACATGCACAGCATGACATGTAGTTTGGACCAGTATTTATTTGATGCTTCACAACCATCAATGGGCCCAAAGGGCTGTTTTAGTTTATTTTTGCCATATGAGAGGTGACCTGAAAGTGCTGGGGAGATGTCAGAGACACACAAGTGGCCAGGAGACACTGCCAGGACACTGCCTTATAGCGTTCACAGTCCAGCCAGAGCTCTTACTACACTGTTCAATATGTTCCCCAAATACCTCACCCATAGGTTTACCATAAATATTTTACAGAGCTTACATTGTGCCAAGAGAAACCTCACCATTGATCCCTTCAAAATACTGAAGCCCCAGCACTGATCCCTATGACACACCACTCGTTATATCTTGCTGAACAGAAGGTGACCCATTTATGCCTACGCTGAGCTTCCTGATAGCTAGCCAAGCTTCTAAGCATCGTGAGCTTTTAACTTCTGCAATAACCTTTGATGTGGCATCTTATGAAATGCTTTCTAAAAATCTAACCACAGGACATTCACTGCTTCCTCTTTATTCACAGCACATCCCTTCCTCAAAGAACACCAATAATTTTGTTCAATTTGACTTGCCTTTCACTCAACCATGTTGGCTCTACCAATCACCTTGAACTTCGTTGAGTACACCGCTATAGCATCTTTAATAAAACCAACTAACTTTTTCACCGATGACAGATGTTAAGCTAACTGGCCTGTAGTTTTCTGCTTCCCACGTCCGTTCCTTTTTGAATAATGGGGCGCACACAGTATTCTCTAATCTACTGGAACCTTTCCTAAATCAACGGAATTTTGTAAATTAAAGCCAACACATCAATTATCTCACAACCCATTTCTTTTATGACTCAAACCTCAACTTCATCAGGACCCAGTGATTGTCAGGTCAAAGCTCAACAATTTGCTTATTACCACTTCCCTGGAGGTTGTAAGTTCCTGTCATTTCTCCCTCCTTTCCATTTCTTGAATTATAGCTATTTCTGGGTTGTTACTTACATTGCCACATCTGTCCAGGAGACTGGTGCAAAATAGCTGTTCAGTTCATCTGTCATCTATCATTTTCCATCATTCATCACCCACTTTCCATTGGATCAATGCTCACTTTGTTAACTCTTATTTTAAAAAAAATATTCAAAAGTCACACGGCTTCAGGTTATAGTGACTTCATCTGATGAAGGAGCAGCACTCTGAAAGCTTGTGATTTTAAATATATCTGTTGGACTATAACCTAGTGTTGTGTGATTTTTTGACCCTGTCCACCCCAGTCCAACACCGGCATCTACACATCTTAAAAATATCCATTTTTTTTTCATATTTCCAGCCAGCTCTCTCACGCTGGGGTTTTCTGTCCTTATGAATTGTTTAGCCTGCATGCGCTCCACAACTTCAACATCCCTTTCTAAACTAGCGCGTACAAACCCGTCTACACACAACAGATAGTAGTGAATCGACGACCCACTTTGCAACCCACTCGATGCAGAGGGCCACTGGGTGGATAGTCTACCAAGCTGTCAATCATTACCAACCCCAGCAAAGTTGAAATTTCTGCCAGTTTTCAAATTGGGACTTGACCATCTTTTCCAACCTCACCGTCCATGGCTTAGAACCTGTTTCCCCAACCATCATTAAACTGTTTTTCATATTAAACGCATCATGGAAGCTGTTGTTGCTAAAGAATCACTCGATTAGATTAGCAATAGCTGGGGATTTAATTTATCTCAATACAAATTATAGAATCATGTTATGGCTTATGTATTAAATAATTAATACACGCCCTTTCCTGTATATGTTTATATCATTCTATTTTACTGAGACGTTCTCCTTTTCTGTTTCATATCGCTCCTGGGTTTATGCCTGTCTTCATTAAAGTTCAATTTCTCGAAAATATGACATATTTAACTTGACGGCAGTAATTTCCCGCCCTTCAGTTAAATGTTTTATAGGGGAAAAGAATTGTCCTCACAATATACATTCTTTGAGAATGCAAGGTATTTGGTTGCATAGGTACTCATGAAGCGTACTTAATGAAAGAGAAGGGAGAATGTCTGTGTGGATTTTAGCAAAAGATGAAGTCAACTGCTAAACAGACTGAGGTTTAAAAATCGAAATTCACCTCCATGTTTTGGGTTTGACGTGTGTAATTATTATTTCACGGAAACATTGCCTGATGTCGAGTGAACCTCTCAGTTTCTCAGCAGCAGCAGCAGCGGTGGACAGACATGTGAGAGAAATCATCTGAAGACAGACTTGTTCTCCTGTCTCTTAAGTGTTTTCCCGCAGTTGAAAATGACAGGCTCCAGAACAAAGCGAGCCTTTGAAATGGCAGTCACTGCTTACATAAAGGGATGGCTGTAAAATCTCTTAAAACGAAGAGCTCTTAAGGCACTTACCCTGACAATGTGTAGCATTAACCTGCTTGTAACCCACGGGGCACTCCACCACTTGTCCATTTCCTCGAACGGGGAAAGCTGAAATTGAAGCAAAATCAGATCACTGACACTTACTCACTACCTGTACCCATGCTTTAAAGAAACATGGGCGGGTGAAGGTGGAATAGATGCAGTGTAAATGAAAAAAAAATCAAGAAAACAGCATGAAGACAAGGACAGTAAATACCTCAAACCACAGAGAACGTTACTCTTTGGCATCATAAACAGATACAATTTCCTACCTGAATACGCAGCAAGTAACAATCATTCTCATGCGCCAGAGTCATCTACATGAAATAAGCTACTGCTTACCAGACAACCATTTTAGTATGGATGTGCGTGGGACTGCTCCCCTACTGCTTCAGATCAACTGTTCAATGTGAGTGACTCAGAAGATGTTGCTAACTAATTAGAGAGCACAGCAGAGGCTCAAAAGTGAACGCAGCTACACACAGTTGCTATGAGTGAAAATCACCCAAGGGCGTACCAATTTAGAACAGAATTTATTGTCACATGTTCTCAAATGCCATCTAGGTACCTTATACCTAAGATGGCAACTTATAAAAGTTTACAAGTCGCCACTGATGGTGCCATCTTAGGAACAAGATACATAGGCACAAATTCTTAAGGGAAAAGACATTAGAAAAATAAAGAAAAGCTCAGAATGACAGTCCTTCCAACCCAGTCCAGACTGGCACCTAGATTCTAGACTCTAGTCTGCACCAGGCCTTGAATACAGACCTCACCGAGCTTCACCTCGTGGATCTCAAAGGCCAGGAGAACACTCCAGAAACATCTTGAGGCTGGATGTCCTCACTAAGGCCACGCCAGGCTGAGAGACAACCACATTGGGCCGAGAGATCGCCATGTCAGCTCCGCGCTGAGGCTGAGAATCCAAATCCACACTGAGGCCGGGAGTTCGAGTCCACACTGAGGCCAGGTGTCTGAGTCCACACTGAGGCCGGGAGTTCGAGTCCACACTGAGGCCAGGAGTCCGAGTCCACACTGAGGCCAGGAGTTCGAGTCTACACTGAGGCCAAGCGTCCGAGTCCACACTGAGGCCGGGAGTTCGAGTCCACGCTGTGGCCGGGAGTTCGAGTCCACGCTGAGGCCGGGAGATCGAGTCCACGCTGAGGCTGGGAGTTTGAGTCCACACTGAGGCCGGGAGACCAGGTCCACGCTGAGGCCGGGAGTTCGAGTTCACACTGAGGCTGGATTTCGAGCCCACACTGAGGCCAGGAGTTACAGTCAATGCTGAGGCCGAAAGTCCAAGCCCACGCTGAGGCCGGGAATTCGAGCCCACGCTGAGGGTGGGAGTTCGAGTCCACAATGAGGCCAAAAGACCGAGCCAAGCCTGAGGCCGAGAGACCGAGCCCAGCCTGAGGCCGGGAGTTCGAGTCCACACTGAGGCCGGGAGTATCAGTCCACACTGAGGCCAGGAGTTCGAGCCCACGCTGAGGCCGAAAGCTCGAGCCCACGCTGAGGCCGGGAGTCTGAGTCCACACTGTGGCCGGGAGTTCGAGTCCACACTGAGGCCAGGAGTTCGAGCCCACGCTGAGGCCGGGAGTCCAAGCCCACACTGAGGCCAGGAATTCGAGTCCACGCTGAGGCCGGGAGTTCGAGTTCACACTGAGGCCGGGATCTGAGTCCACACTGAGGCCGGGGGTTGCTGCCCACGCTGAAGCCGGGAGTCCGAGTCTGCGCTGAGACCGGAGGTTCGAGTCCACACTGAGGCCGGGAGTTCGAGTCCACGCTGAGGCCGGGAGTTCGAGTCTACCCTGAGGTCAGTTCAGGACGTTGTGAAAAAGAGGGAAAAAAACACAAGAGAAAAGAAAAGAGAGGAAAGAAAGAAAAGAATTGGACAGAACGGATAAGTTTTGGCTGAGGTTACCTACTCCACCACCATCTTGGATCTGAATTATGCTTTGTGTTTCTCTCTGCTGCTAAGTAATATTACCGTTATGGATTCATTAGTTTCTAAGTTGGATGAATAGATGCCAAGATCAGGTTTCTGAGGGAACATAAAGGGAAGCAAGAGAGCAAAGTTCAGTGAAAATAGTATCATTTGAGTAGAGGAAATAGCATGAACTGCAGATGCTGGTGTCAGAGTCAACACAGTGTGTGGAGCTGGAGGAACACAGCAGACCAGGCAGCATCAGAGGAGCAGGAAAGTCAACGTTTCAGGTCGGGACCCTTCTTCAGTCCTCATGAAGGGTGTAAACCCGAAACGTCAACTTTTCTGCTCCTCTGATGCTGCCTGCCCTGCTGTGTTCCTGCATCTTTTGAGTACAAATATTTCGAGCATTTGGTTTTGGGAGTCTCTAATCTTCACAATATGAATGAACTGCAAAGGCGTCAAAAATGACAAAAACATGTCAGGCTGGAACTCGGCCAGAGGCTGCCTGATCTTGCACTGAAACTACAGCCAAGATCCAGAGAAGCTGCACAAAGATCTGTTGTCCCCACTTTGTCTGGATTTTCAGCCACAGTTAAGGTGCTATTTCAATCCTGTTACTCAAAAGCAAATGTCTTAAAGGTTTCAAGGAAAGGCAAAAATAACCTTGCAGCATTCAGATCATTGAACAGTAAAGAAATGTTGAAGAGTTTAACTCGTGGTGAAGGAATTAAGAGAAGGTAACTCAAGTCATCAAAAGAACAAAGGGACTCGATATTCTAGTGGAAGAAGATGTCTTTTGCAAACCCACTGTCAGAGAAGCAGAGGATCAGAGGAATAACATTATTGTGCTAAGGTGATGCTCTTATCTTGTGACTTGAAGAATTCAAAAATTTTTGATTCAACAAACAATGGTGAAATTTAAAGGCCTCGGAGTGATAAAGGATGAAAAGTGCAGAGCCCAGTTTTGGATACATTGCAATGGATTAATGCATATTCCTAAGATCTTCAGTCATGAAGGAACACTGGAGCTCTTTTATTATATGAAATTCATTTATTTCTCACTAAGCAGTCACTAAAGTGGCACAGTTACAAACATTTGACTCAAAACCTCTTCAGTTTTGTAACTCACTTCCAAATTTCTAACCATACCATGACCATTTCATTTCCAAATCAACCTTTAGTTGAGAAGCTAGTTTCATTCTGAGGATCACAATGAAGCTGTCAATGCCACTCTATTAAATATTGAGAAGCTACAGTTCAGTAATTGTTTCAAACTACAACCTACAGGAGATGAATTCACTTTACCTTTAAAGTTAGAGGCTGTATCTATGAACTTTGTTCTACCAAGATTCAACGTCCTTGTGCAAATTGACACCCAATGGATGGACCATTGTAGAATCTTTTGTAGAATCTACAAAAGTTAGAAGCTTGGGATTGTTGGTGACTATCAAATGTTGATCAGTCAGGTTGTAATCATGGGGTTGAACATAGTGATAGCAGTGATGGCTCAGAAAGCCAGGCTTGACCCAACTGCAGCCATTCCAAGGAAGCCAGGCAAAATTCACTGGTCATCTGGCAGCTAACCTCCTAGCATTCAGGCTTCCATGTCTTTAAAGAGGAATATTCCACCTTCAAGCGCTGTCATCCATTCAGAAAGCCAGCAGTTCTTCAGTCCCGGCAATACCACACAAAGGCAGCAGATAACATCACTCTCTGCAGGATCCCCTGCAAGACATGCACCATTCTGACTCGAGACAATATTGCCATTTCTTCACTGCCACTGGGTCAAAATCCTGGAACGTCCTCCATTACAGCCCTGTGGCTGTGCCTCCACCAGATGGTCTGCAATGGTTCATGAAGGCAGCTCACTGTCACCATAAATACTGGCCTGGCCAGCAACACCCATATTCCATGAAAGGATAATAAATCTCAGTGCGATTCACTTTTGGGACGGGAGCTGGTCAACAACAGTGAAGTGCAGGAAGCCTCAGAACCAGAGTAAGTTGGTGCAGTTCATCAGAGTGGGCAGGGCTTGCTGTTGAAGGTCTGGGCAGTCATTCCAAAGCAGAGCAGGCCCTTGTTGTTGGGGAGATGTCTGTGAGTCACAGGTTTCTCAATCAGGAGGATTCACTGCCACTCCACCTCAGCCGTGCTCTGCTTTATCAGCCTTTACTGGGGATCACAGAGGTTCAGGAGAGCGATGGGCAATCCAGTTCAGTCTTCCTTTTTGACCCTACAATCCAACACTATCTCCAAGCTCTTTCCCAAGGGCTGGATTAAACTCTGCCCACACCCTGCAATATTGGGAATTGGTGCGTTAACATTTTTTTACCAATATTGCACAGCACAATTTCAAACCAATAAATGAGTATTCACTACAATACCATACAATGTGGTTTCAACCCGGTGTGTTTATTTCACGCAAAATGAAACCCAGATGTTCTCTGTAGGTTCTCACTTACATCCAAAGATCCCCCATTGCTTAATTAAAAAGCAGGTAGAATTAACCTTCCTTCACCACTGAAAACCTCATTCTCTACCTCTGAGAACAAATCCAACGGTGTGCTATAATGTCAGCTCTGTCACGGGATGAGTGCTGAATGTGGTTCCCCTGTTTGCCAGGAGCCATAAAGAAGAAGCAGAACATCAGATGTTCTCCATGTTTTACGTTACGAATTGGTTATGCTAATATTTCTAGGTCAATGTTACAAGTTTGAAATAGGAACTCAGCATAAGTTCCTGATCTGCTCCTATTGCCTTGTATCAGATCTATCAGTGGCTGGAACAACATTTCCAAAGTGTTTTACAAACACCACATTTCCCCAGTTGCCTGCTGCTTCTAATTTGATCAGAGTATCTTTTTCTAATCTGAAACATAATGTGTGCTCTGAAACAGTCATTACAACCACATCTCATACTGAGCAGTCTGTGTAGCATTGCCTTTACCCTGAACTGTACAAAACAGTGGATTAGAAGAAAAAACAAAAAACAGAATATAAAGAAAATATTGGATAGATTGTTGACTGTTAATTTAATGGAGAATCTCAATGAGAGTATAAACTCTGATTGAAGGACCGAAAGGTTTGTAACTCTCAGTTTTGCGTTTGGCCTAAAACATTGAAATTATTCTCTTGAACCTGTT